TTCTAATTATCTAGGTGCTAGAGCCCACTGTAACTACATAGCCAAAAAGGCATTAAGAATTGTTAACGTAGCTTTTTCTCTGGTAATATTACACTACTAACTAGAGCATACAAAACATTTGCTAGACCAATACTCGAATACAGCTCATCAATCTGGAACCCACATTATGTATCTGATATTAACACAATTGAGAAAGTCCAGAAATATTTCACAAGAAGAGTTCTCCACTCCTCTACTTGTTGCAGAATACCTTATGCCACCAGACTTGAAATTCTACACCTAGAAAACCTAGAACTATGCCACTTTTGGTCTGATCTAAGTATAGTATATAAAATTATACATTGCAATGTCCTATCTGTCAATGAATACTTCAGCTTCAACCATAACAATACAAGAGCAAACAATAGATACAAACTCAAGGTTAACCGCACCAAACTTGATTGCAGGAAATACGACTTCAGCAACAGAGTGATCTATGTACCTGTACTCTACCTGACTCTGTGGTTTCTTCCCCAAACCCCAAAAACTTTAACATTAGACTTTCTACTATTGACTTCACCCCTTTCCTAAGAGGTCTGTAGGGGGCATGCATAAGCGCACCAACATGCCTACCGTCCCTGTCCTACTGTTTCTTTTATTTATTTTTATTTTTTTCTTATATGTATCCATGTATTCATAACTATGTTTTTACTTATACCTATTATCTTGTAAGCAATTGACAAACCGAATAAAATAATTTTAAAAAAAGAATAAGTAAATATTTACTATCCTTGCAAAGATGCAGTTTGTATGTGGTGGAGCTGCCCATTTCACTTCAAAACAGTCACTATAAATAACAAGACAAACTTTATAGTAGGTACCATGTACCATTATTATGATACATGTGTGCAAACATAAACATTTCTTGCTTAGAAATGTGAAGGTGACTAAATATGGATTAGCTAATGGTTTTGTGCTGTTTGAAACCCCGTAGGTGAAACTGATTATATAAGATTGCTTGTATGTATTACTGGGGTCTTTCATTACTTAGCATATCCATGCCTATCTATCCAAGACGCTGCAGACTCTCAATAAGAATAAGTTTTCAAAAAAAATTCATCTGTGTCCTGACAGAGCAGAGGAAGAAACCCAAACCAGATGACAACAGGGAGAAGAGCACTGCAGCACTTTTTCTCAGCACTTTTTCTCAGGATATTTCTCCAATAATATCAAAATAATCACAGTTTTGAGCAAAATGTCTCCAATTTTGGGCAAAATGTCTCCAACTCCAATTGGTTATATATTTTAATCCATAGCTTGTAAATTGCCTATAGCTGCAAAATGAGAATATATGGCACATATATTTTTAAAAAGTTTTTATAAAGCAAACATCAGAGGATGATCACTTTAAATAATGCCTCTGAATAAATTTTAAGTTTCCCCGGATTGAAGTAGGATATTTTCACATCTGACTATCCTGAATGCCTTTAATTTGATGTATGAAATCTGAAGGTACTAATACAACCAAATTGCAAAATATGTGGTCCTTAAAACATTAGGTCTGTGTTCAACTGCATTGGATTAACTATTGAATATGCGTTTTATATGCTTATTTCAATTTTTACAGATATATTTCATCCATACTATAGAGTTGTATTCACAATGTTAAAGTTATACATATTATCATTAAAACTTTTTTGCTTATACAATTCTAAAATGAATATATGCAAATTCATACATACTTGAATAATGCATCCAGATAACAATGATTGAAATTAAAGTAAAAGAGAAACCAGCAAATGAGATGAATTTCACCACAAATAATAAAATATTTATATAAGATGCAATTTAGATGTGCAATTTATCTGCAATTTAGATGTGACAAATAAAACAAGAAATAATATTATTCCTAGGTTTATCAACATCCTCTATCTGACCACCAAAGTAAAACATCTGGAAACACTAGTAATTGTTTTAATAGTAGTAGTTGTAAGTTATCTATAAATACGATTTATTTGTAAGATTTATATACCACTTCAATCTATTTTTATTAATAGAAATGGTAGTCCAAAGTAATATATCTTTCTTTCATTCATTTTTTTAAAATGTTACTATGTATCTAATGAAAAAGACACACTATAGTGTTTTTAAATTTAAAAAGAATGATAATTATAAGAGTAATTATATTTCATTTCAGGTTACTGATATACCATAAAACATTAATTGATAAACAGATGGAGATTTTGATTTTATTTTGTTACTGGGAGCCTAACTTCTACAGATTTATTCCTCATGCACCATAATTATAAAAGCAAAAAGGAAAGAATATGAAGCAAGCATCATAAGCTTTCAGGTTTTGGTTTCTTTAGAATAAAAAATTGGGCTGACTGTATTCAGGTTTCAGTGGAAATATGAGTTGCACAATACAAGGAATGCAATTTTTTAAAAAAAAAAAACCACCCCAAACCCTTATCTCCAATTTGCCTGACTGAAAAGATCCTCTGAATTCCAGTAATGTACATTTAACACACTGATCATTCTGTACATCTACACTGCCAAGCTCTGTAATTCATCTAAATTATGTGAACCCCTGATTCATGCAAGGCAAGTGAATATGGCCCTAAAGGTACTTTCTGTCATTGTTTCAATTACAGAGCTATGTGGGTAACAGGCTTGGATTTGACAGCAACTGAAGAAAGAGGATATTATATGCATGCCTTCAATCAGCTTTGTATTTGATCCTTAAAGGGAAAATTATGTGAGAGACAGGGGAGGAAAACAACAAACTAAGCAAGATCCCAATTTCAATATAATTTGGAGAAAATAACTGATTTGGGTTGGACATTTTGCCAAAATGGATGACTCAAGGCTTCCAAACAAGAAATGGAAACCAGAAGGATGCCTAAAGCCTTAAAGAAGAACAAATTGGGAAGATATGATTGACTGTAATGTTTCAAAATCAACTATAGCAAAGACGAATTTGGGTGGTTGCCCAGAATACAATTGAATGGTGATGTTCATTTAGATGCTTAATGTTGAAACAAAATAATGTGTTTTAACTGAGCTTCACTTTAGCATGTAACTGTTAACTCTTTCAAATTCAAAAATATGGTCTTGGGGGCTGGAATTGTGCTCGTCCTAGGGTAGCAACAAAAGCATAAAAACAGTCTAAACAAAGACAGAGCAGGCAGAAAAAAAAAGTATTAAGTATAGTATAAAACAGAAAATATTTCAGGTTTGTAAAACCCTTAGAACTGTCTGTGTATCAATCATCAGTCATCAGCAGAACACCTGATTAAATCTAACTCCCACAACTATAAAAGTAATGAGGTATCTGTTGTAAACTTAAGGATATATTTTCATTAACACTTGGGTAGCAGACCTACCTGCATTTTTTAAATTCTCAGTAGCCATTTCCTTCACTCTGAGACTATAAAAAAACTACCCCTGACATCTGGATGCATTTTCTTTATGTGCTATTTATAATTTCTATATACAGTGAGTTTATCTGTCCTTTGGGACACACTGGCTGTCTTTAAATTAAGCCATTCTCAGTGCAACAGTGGCACACAATGCATGCATATCTGAAGTGAAAACTAGGTCATATATGTGTCAGGCAGGCTTCTGTCTATTGCTGAAAGTCATGTGAAAATTACAAAATATTAGAAGCTTTAAAAGAAAAATAATAGTGTGGTAGATGTAACTGATAACATGGAAAGCATAGAAAAGACACAGTTCCAGTATAAAGCAAGGTCCACCCTCAGTTTGAATACAGAACCCAAAAATACTTGAGAGGAGAGAAATGTCTTTCTCCGGCATTGAACCGTCATTCAAACTGGGCATCAGTCATGTTTCTCTGGGAAGGGTATTCCATAAGCCAACTAGAAGCTCTGCCAACTAGAAGCTCCCGTTCATTGCTCCCTGGCAAAGGCAGACCAAAATATTCACCCAAGTACTTAATGGGAAGAGGCATCTCTGAATATACCAGCTGTCCAGAGCTTTAAAAATCAATAGCGCAGCTTGGAAATGGGTTGGCAACCATTGCAGCTACCGACACCTTGGTATGATTTTTGTTCATTCTTAATCCTGCTTCTTGAAAATCTTCTAAGGTTGGATAGGAGCTGTAGGGGGAAAGGAGGGAAAGGGCAGTGCAGGGCATATTTCTTTCCTCTGTGTGAGCCACCCCACAGCATTTGCTACAGACTGCCTTTTAATAAAGCAAGCACTGAGGTGCATTTGTTGTGTCTTAGAAAGCAGCACTGCTTTTTAGAATCTGCTTTCACTATTTTCTTTCAAGGAAATCCAGTTATAAAATGGTAACAAAGGGCCACAGGAGGACACTATAATGCTATTCAGAATCAACACAAAAACTCAGATTCAGTTGACTTGACATAAGTAATTGAACTGGACTGGTTTAAGGAAAATATGCTCAAATCTAATAATAAAATTAAATTGCCAAGTAGTCAGCTTGCACATTGAATCACATTTCCAAAGAGCCAAACTGTGTTCTCCATGCCTTCTTTTCACTTTTTGTAATCATTTTCCTTTATTAAAAATGATGTTGCCAGCCTGAAGCCTGACTACTTAAAGAGTCAACAGTAAATAAATCATTCCTACCCTCCACCTTGTTTTCTCTTTTGCAGAAAAAGTTGCTTCCTATTTACACAAAAAAAAGTAATCTAATCTGCACAGATTCTATGGGTTGCACTTGTGTTTTGTTGCAATTATGCTTCTTGTTCCAGTGTAAACTAAAATTTGGACTTCAGTCCTCAAATTTATTCCAGTTTAATCCTGTCGAAGTCAGCGGTATTATCTCAGGAGAAGTAATTTTAGGACTGCAGCAATAGTTACACAATATGTACAAAACCAGAACTCAATTATTGACAATAAGGGCTGTTCTGAATAATTAAGAAAGCCTTGAGATTAGTTGTTTTATTCTGAAATGAAAACAGAATTACCACTGTTCATACATACCTGGGTATTTTTTTAATGTTCTTTTTTTGTCTTTCTTTATTCAATAGCTTGTTTGGTTTCTACAAAGGTATCCTCCCTCCAATCTTGGCTGAAACACCCAAAAGAGCAGTAAAGGTAAGTCAATCTCCATCCTCCACAAAGTGAAAAATTACAACACTGGGATCCTTGGTACTCTCTCTGTGTGGTTGCTTAGTTGCAGACGTTTCATTATCCAACTAGGTACCATCATCGGTGTTCCACAGTTCAACCCTGAGCTGCAAATATTCTCTTCTAACTGGGATTACTATAAGTAAGAAAGCCATTTTACTTCCCTTCCAAGATATCTGACCAGAGGACATTAGGAGGGAGTGGAGAAGCCTCTCCAGCTGTGGATGCAGAGGAACTATACCGCTGCTAACTAGCAGGCAGGTCTCCCTACATTGTCTCAGGGAAGCTTTGCATCTTAAATTTATTGCATGGGCTCCAAAGATGCTTTTCTTGATTTGGATAGGTAACTGCAAGGTGTCCATAAGACATGGTCAAAATAGTCTGTGATAACCACTAATTCTTCTGTTTCTGGCATGGACATTTTCAGGGATTTGTCACTTAAACAGAAAGCAGAGATTCCACAGCAAATTAAGGGAAGTGTTGAATCCATTGAAAACAAAGCCCTTCCATTTCCATAGCTAGAATAAGGATAAAATGAAATCAGCCCTGAATCTGGCCGCCTCCTCTTGCCTCCAGCATGACCCCCCACAGTTTCTGCCCAGTTTATTCATTTATTTTAGAAAACATTTAGGACTTGCTTTCTCTCTGCTTATACGGAATCATACTTAGGCAATATATAAATGATACAATCCAGATTATTTTTTAAAAAATAAATAAACAGCGCATCAGGGAAGTGTTACACTGGGGCTAGATAAATGCAAGGCTGTGTCCACAAATATTGGAACCTGTTGGAAAATAAATGAAGAGTTAAGCAACTTTCAGCGGAGCTTTGCAGCAAACTGCAATGGTGTTGATTGTCTTTGTTTAGAGTTCTGCCTTTCCATTTCAATTCTTCCTCTCTTTTTTTCTCCTCTGCATTTCTGTTCATTTTTTTTCTTCCTGTGAGTTAGCATTTTATACATATGAAGTCATAACTGGAGTATTTTTTTTCAGAAGGTTTCCATTTTGCTTTTGGGGGGTGGAAATACATTATTGTAGATACATTATAAGATACATTATTGTAAATCTTCAAGCTAGTTTATCTTTCTTCCTTGGGGGAAAAATACTTTTAGGAAAAGCACTATCCAAAAGGAACACCAAACATTCTGTCCTCGTATTTAACTCAGAGCTAGACTACAGTATTGAGTAGTTTAACGCTGAATTAACACTTTATGCCATTGATTAGCTATAATAACATTCATCCCCCTTAAGACTTTCCCTTTATGTTAGAGGCAGCTGCAAATGTTGCAAGTCTTTTGAGGTCTTCCTGATGGTGCCCTTTCGATGATGGCTCTGTAAACACGAGAAGATTTGAACTAGAAATATAAGAGATTATGATGCCTTTAATAATGTACACTAAACTGCTTAAACCACTTTAAAAGGTATAGAAAGCTGAGTGTCTTGCAGATGTCACACTATGTTATTGACAATAGCAGCATGATTTTACCTCCTAGAACAGATGGAACTCAATACCTGGAAGCTTCCTTACATTTCCAGTACAACTGTTGTTGTCGTTTTGCTATGCATAGTTTGAAAAAAAAAAAGAAAGAAAACAATGTGGAATGCTTGCTTTTGATAATTTGCATGCATGTGTGCACAAACATCTCACACATTGACAAATAAAATATGCTTACAAATAAAATATTCTCACACAACAACTCGCACATTAAGCTGATACAAACATTTTGTTAAATATGGACCTCAATTATTGTAGATTTTAGAAAGAAACTTGCTCTGGAAAAATATTTTCATAGTTTTTTTTCAGTGTCAAATAGTGGCTTAATCATTGGGAAATTTTAGATAGTCCTATTTTATTAGAAGTTAGTTATTCATGGAAATGAAAGTCAGGATTTTCTGATCATAGAATTTCACATTTGCAGGCTCGGGGAGCGTAGCAGATATTCCTTGGAATCGCTTCCACATTTGATACTGTAATTTAAGTTCTATTGTGGTAATTTTGCACAGCTGCATCTCTACCTGCCATTTTCATCTTGGTTACTTTCAGAGAAAAGCTGCCTTGAATTATAGAACTGCTGGGCTGATAAAAGATCATTCAGATAAACAAACAAGGCTGAGTTCCTGTTGAGAAGAAAAATATAATTGTCTATTCCTTTCGTAAATCCATTTGCATGTAAAAATAAAGCCATTATAATTAAGGTAGTATGTCACTTGGACGCCATGTGTCAAAGACAATTTCATTTTGAAGAGTTCAGATCCTTTCTCAATGTGTTTGTGCCTCTTTCTCTCTTTCTTCCTCCACCCTCCTCAAAGAAAGCTGGTAACTCTGAAGGATGAAAAGCCAAACTTTATAGCCCAGATTTAGTCTGGACTTGAAGAAAAGACATGAAGAGTGCCAGTACAATGCTTAACAGATGATCTTGTTGGGCAAATACATCTTTTGCATCTGTTCCCAGACTTTTTTATATTAAGGTTATTGGGACATATGGTAAATACCGGATTTCCCACCCCCCCCACTCCTACCCCCATGGAATTTAAGATTTATAAGTGTCTTTGCCAGATGAACAGCATCTTTCTTTGAATTTTGTGATGAAAGCATTTTTTTTTAACTTAATGGAACTTTTAGAATTCTTAAGCAATAAAAATATTTAGAGATGTTCAATAAAGTAAACCATAGTAAGCCATGCAAGGAAAAATTACTAGGGTTTGTTTGTTTGTTTGTTTTGGGGGTTTTTGGACAAATTAAATTTGCACTCGGTTGTTTTCTGCAGCTCAACTGGATATTTGCTTTGGTTTTGTTCAGCTACAGAAATGTAATAAAAACCAAAATGTCTAACATAACTTATTTTTATATGCATTTGGAAAAAAAACGGATATTTTGAATGCAAATTTTTAATAAAAATATAATGGAAACATGAGAAATATAAAGATTCCGTGAAATGTATTTCATGAAAATATAACTGATTTCTTGTGCCAAGTACTTATAGTTATGCTTTCTTAATTTTTACAAACTTTCTCATCAACCAATTAATTTTTGCAGGGTTTTTTTTTCAAATCCCTTCAACTATTTACTTTTCCTGTATAACAAAACAAGTTTTATACCCACTTTCACAGGAATAAGACCCACTGGACTTCAGTGGGTTCTTTCAAAATAAACTAGGAAAGTGGGTAGCAAATATATTATTGAGGTTTCTAGACTTCATTCACTACAATTAAGTTAATTAATAGTAATAAATCAATTAGTTGTGATGCACAATGCTTGTAAGATTGTTTTAATACTGGTGAAGAATGCTGTGGAGCATTTTCTTAATACCTGTATTCTATAAATACCTCATTCTATAAATATTTTAAAATTTAATTAATGTATTTATTTATTTACCACAAAAAGGTGCTTGAACTTCATTTGTTCATTGAAGTATCAATATTGTTATGAGGCTTCTGAACAAAATAAAATAATTTGCATTCCTCTACAAATGAATTGTTATAACTGTTATAACAAATTGAAATAAATAAAAATACACCCCAGGTGTTCTTCTTCTCAATAACTTGCTGGTTGGTTACCTCTCTCTTCCCTATGCCTTATTTTCTTTGTCCTTAAATTTTAAAAATATTGGCTAGCAAGCAAATCTTTATCTGGATCTGTGCTGTGGGTTTGCATATAAAGTGCTAACTCTGGAGCCAGGCTGCCGGTATGCACTTTATAGAGACATCAAATAGATAGCATTTGGAAAAGATCTGGGATTTATTTTTATGATTAGTAGTCTGAAATTCAGTGGGAAAGCAAACAGATGTAATATGTGCAATACTAATGTAGCAGTAGCCATCTCAAACCTGGAAGTCTTGGATACAAATAGGTGAAGAGAGTAAGTCAGGGGTGTCAAACTCATGGCCCATGGGCCGAATGCGTCATGCACTGGCCACGCCCACTCCCATTTTAGCGAAGGGGGGAAAGTTGCAATACATCACATGATGACATGTCATCACGAGTTTGACACCCCTGGAGTAAGTAATTTAAAACAAATCAGCAATTAAGAATCAATGCAAGATAAATATTCCTGCTATGTCCAGTTTTTGCCACTTTTCCCTTCTTTTCCATCCCATTCTTTGAAAGGCTTAGGGTCTATCCTATTATAGATAAACAGGAAAAGAACGTTGCATTGTATGATTAGCTTTAACTTCCTATACCTCTAATCCAGTACATTTTATTTCATTTTAAAAACCAATTGTGTTACTGACAAATTAAAATTTGGTATTCTGCTTGATACCAGAATATCCTTGTATAAAAATCTAGAATGATTTTGAATTGTGTTAGTTGCTACAGCAGTGATTATATGATAGAATTAATTTTATTATCAACAGATTTTGCTGGTATATTTTTGTTCATACTAAACAGTAAAAATAAAGGAAAAAGTCATGTTATATTCACTAACTGGAATAAATAGAAAAGATTTCCATACCTTAGTAAAAGGAATATTGTTTTTGGAATAAGAAACTAAACACATGAGAGAAGATATGATGAAAGGAGTATAAAGTTTAAAGAGGACAATGCTGCGATGTGAAACTACTATAAATTTGACTGGATTATACAGTTGTATAATACCATTCTCTCTCTCTCTCTCTCTCTCTCTCTCTCTCTCTCTCCCTCCCTCCCTCCCTCCCTCCCTCCCTCCCTCCCTCCTGTATCTTTCCAATAAATGTTTTAAATGATCTGAGAACAACATTTGTTTGATTCAGTTTAACCAAAACCATGTGTGCAACACTAATCATTCAACAATGTACAACCAAATCAAATCATTCTTTGTCTTTTCTTAGTCTAATAAAGGTAAACAGCTTTCTGTGATAAAAATCTCTATTCTTAAGTTTTACATTTCTCCTTATTTATTTTCCAGTTCTTCACCTTTGAACAGTACAAAAAAATACTTGGAAATATTTCTCTATCACCAGCTTTGGTAAGTGTTAGTTTGCCATTCAGAATATATAAATGCATTTACTATAATGCATTACATAGTACTGTATGTTGTCTTCAGATTAGGTAAGACAGTGGAGATAGGAAGAAAGTCAGAGTTAAACTGGATGGGATACCAATGCTCTGGATACTAATAACGAATTATTTTATTCATATATAAACAGATTTCTTTGTGCATGTGTATGACTCTAGCAGGCAGAGCTTGCATTGCAAAGATGCAATGCTTTTTTTGTGTCATTTTGATAGACACTTCCAATCCTTCCTATGCCCCGGCAATGAAAAAAGAGCAGATATTTTCTCTGTTGGCAGCACCTTCAGTTTTGGGAGGAGACTTTTAAGATGGCTTCCAGTTGTAGAGGAACCTCTAAAACATTATATACTGTACAGATGGACCTTTGCTCTTGCTAGCCTGGATTTCAGTATAATTGTTTGTGTGAACAAGAAAGGTAAACTACAGTGCATGGGAAACATGCAGCCTCCTGCATCTCCAAAACCTCCTGAAATTATTCTGCTGAAATTTTGCAGAAAAGTTCAAATGAGGAAGAAAAGGAGGGAGGAAGAGAAGAGAAGGGGAAAGGAAAGGAAAGGAAAGGAAAGGAAAGGAAAGGAAAGGAAAGGAAAGGAAAGGAAAGGAAAGGAAAGGAAAGGAAAGGGAATCAAGCCACAGCTATTCTGGTAATCCTGCTTTAAAATGTCATGAAATTATTTCCCTTCTCTCTGTTAACCTTGCTTGGGCAATGGGAGTAAATATGCTTTAAGATTTTTAGATAGTATGAATGTTAAGAAATTCTAGGAAGTTGACTGCCCAGCCATCAATCCATATTAATGACTTAAATTGTTAGCAAAATGCAATTGGAAGGGACAATTAATAAATCCTGATCATCTGGAAAATAATTTTTTAGTTGAATTTTTGGCTCTTTAAGTGGAAATTTTGTGACAAGCTTAAGAAGCATGTCATATACCTGCCTATCATATAAACTGGAAAACTATTAAAATATACATTAACAGGCAATAGAAATGAAGGTTTTTACAAAATGGGTATGATCCCTTTTTAACATATTGTGTTTAACTACCATATTACTATTACATCACTGTAATGGTCTCTGACTCATGGCATGACTCCCATGCTCCTTTTATTGGACTTCCATATTTTCCAAAGAACACGAAGTAAATTATTAAAGATTCTGCATATCTTTTTAACAGAGAAAATGGTAATTCATCTTGCAGATGTATGTACTAGGATAAATTTTTCAGTATACTCTGAATAAATAATACAGGGGGGTCATTGAATTTAATAGAGTATAACACATTTATAAAGCCATAGCAGAAGGAAATAGCAAGAGGTGTTCTGTATGAAGAGTCTGGAAGAAAATAAAAGATATACGTCCACGTCAGGGGGAATCTCTACAAATCTCTTGATTGCTAACCAGAGTAAAGAAGGGATATATGGCCTGTAATACCCATCAATGAATGGTTTCAGTACAACAGACAGTTACTGGATTAAGAATGCTTAATGCAAGGCATGTTCAACCTTTAATCCACATGCTGGATTTTCATATCTGAATGATCAGATTGCACAGAGAGTTCCAAAACCACTGCAGCATGAGCTTGGCCAATTTGCAATTATCATGTCTTATAAATTGGCTATGATACTGTAACTGGGCAAAGGAAAAGTACACTTGTTTGGGTTCTGGGAAGCATGGAAAATTGAAAAATATACTATTGTCAATGTAGATGACATCATCATTTTCAACAGCACTTGGCAAGAACATCTAGCACACCTGCATAAAGTATTTAAGTGTTTGCAAGGAAGATAACTGACTGTAGTAGGGCCCAACTCCTCATGAGCCCAACTGAAAATAAGATATCACAGTCTGAAAGTAGCTCAAGGAATCTTTAGAACACAAACTGACAAGATGGAAGCCATTCACAAATCAGTTCAACCCAAAAACAAAACAATAGTCTGAAAGGATAATAGACTGGCATAGATGATTACATATAAATTGTTGCTCCTTTAAGCGAATTCACTCAACAATAACACTACAAAACCTCTTGGCCCAAGGAACTTGAGAAGATATTTCAAATTTTTAAATTAACTGTGGGACTCCAATGTTCAACAAGTTGAATTTTTCTCATGGGTGTCAACTTGATGTGTCTGAAGTAACCATTAAAAGAACCCCTCAGGAAAAAAAGACCTCATTCCATACTTTAGAGGAGAACTAATTCTGCACATGGTATAATGTTTAGCCAAACACCAAGCATGTTAGTTTAATCAAATAGTCCTCAAAATTCTTCCTTCTGATGTATTCACCAATTACCATTCTTAAAAATGGTTAGGGTCAATGTCCTTTGTGGAAGATTACCACTACAGATTGACATTTATAAATAGTGAGATATTAAGTGAACAAAAAAAGGTCCCCAATGACCTTCAATTCCGTTAACAGTATCAGCTGGCAGTTCTGTATCCCAAAAAAAGAACTAATTTCAAAGTTTCCTATAAAGGACTATCTGGTTTAAAGGAGAGGATAATAAAGTGAAGGGAAACATCTGATTCCTGAGACATAATTCCAGACCTCACTCCAATCCAAAGCAATCCAACCTAGTAGGTCAACTTGGAACCAAATTTGGGGGGGGGGGCTTTCAACAGATGGAGTTGCCAATTAGCATGAAAATATTGCAGGTGCATACAACATTCCATATCCCACATAATCCCTTCTAGTGCACTGTCTACCTAATTAATGGGGATAAAGTGGAAGGAGCTCTGCTTTGAGTGTGTCTTGGAGGAGCCTACCTTATGCTACTTGTTCTATATTAGACTAACCATAAGTCTGAATCATGGCGGTTCAGATAAAATATAAATCAAATACAATTTCATATTCAATATGCAGAAGACTATTGTGAGATTATTCTGAGGAATTTATAAATTACAAAGATCCAGATGTTCCATTCCACTGATACTAATGCAACTTTGCTCAAAGTATGATTGTTCTTAAAAGTAGTAGGGTGTATTCCAGGTAAGTATTTTAGGTTTGATCCAAATTTACATTTAATTATTTTCGCCTATACATTGCTATTTCCCCATTTTTCTCCCTCTGACTCATTTAAAAAGTCTCAGGCATTTCCTGAAATGATCCTCATTTCAGGCTTCAACTTATTCTAGAAGATACAAGAATTATAAAAGTCTTGCTGTGTTCTGACCCAAACCTGTTTCCAGGAGAGCAAACACAAGACAAAGGCAGCAGCCCAACCTTTTAATGTTTCATCTATGAATTTTGTTTCTTCACAGACAAAAGGCTGCTTCCAACTAATTAACTCCGACAAGAAAGAGCCTTGCCAAGTTTTTGCAAGGCTGCCAAAAAACAACACATAAGAAATAGTTTACAATACAAGTCTTCAAATAACAACTGTAATGCCCATGAGGCTGAGTTTCAAAAGGTCTTTGCTTCCTACAAAGAATGTTCACTGCACAGTTGCCTTTTATCTTCTTGAAGGAGGGGCCATTACCTTGCAGCCTTACTTCCAAGTCGCCCGTGCTGTTGTAGCTGCTCTTTCCTGTGAGCAATTCTGCACACACGTGCACTTGGCACAGGCTTCTCGGGAACCTCCTCATCGCTGAAGGCAGCAGTTCACTCCCTAATGGTCCTGGCCCCTCATCTGAGTCCTCGCTCTCCTCAGCCATCCACACCTGCTGCCGGCTAACCACAACATGCTGCTGCTTTCTAAGTTTTAAGCACCATTTCAATCTGTGCTGGATTTTTGTCAAGTATGGTGAATGTTATTTGTTCGTATTGGTAAAGTGTATTTTGGGAATGTTCATGTGTGTTCCAGAAATCCTAAGTGGAGGGGATGGAGAATGTGTATCTTGAAGCAACAATTACATCAAACTTTCAGTATTTTACAGCTGCTGAATCCAAATAAATATTTCGTGTGTGTGTGTGTGTGTGTGTGTGAATACAGGTAGTACTGGACTTACAACCATAATTGGGGCCAGTTCCAGTTTCCTTTGCTAAGCAAAGCAGTTGTTAAGTAATTTGCACCCAATTTTATGACCTTTTTGCCATGATTATTAAGCAAATTACTGCAGTTGTTAACTGAATCATGAGGTCATTGACTTTGCTTGATGGCAGCCTGCTGGGAAATGGTGGTCACATGGCCCCAGAACACTGCAACTACCCTAAATACATGCTAGTTGGCAAACACCCAAATTCTGATCACAAGATTGTGGAGAATGCTACAATGGTCATAAGTGCAAGGACCAGTTGTAAGTCACTTTTTCCAGTGATGTTGTAACGTTAAAACAGTTACGAAACAAAATGATTGTAAGTCAAGGACTACCTATATACCAGTAAAGATAAGCGTTCTTGAAAACTGTTGTAGAATGTTTTCTGGTAGGCTTTTAGATGTTTTCAGTGCATTGTATTCTTTTTTTTAGATATCATAGCATTAGTTCTGGGCATGGTCTATTTCTTCCGCCATATCGCTCTCCCACCAACAAGTTATAGAACAAAATATATAATATGTTTGTGAACTCTAAACTCATCTCAGCCAGTCCTTGAGTATTGAAGATTTGTCCTGAAATGAATACAAACTCCAGCTCCTTTGTAGTGTAGTTTGTAGTTATTCATTAGCTCAGCAAACAACAAACACTCTTCTCTGACAAGAAAGGCTAAAAGCCAGGCAAGGTTAGAGTTGGGTTTGGTAGAGGGGGCCACCTGTCGGGCTCTGAGTTCACTTGGACCCCGTCAGCTTCGAATATGCCTCACAGCAAATCAGTGGGTCATGTCACCTTATCTCTACTGCTGTTGGATCTGTATTTCTGCTTGTGTGCTGGCCAATGGCTTTGGAATGACTCAGCAGAGCTGAGGGTGGATTCTGCAACAACTACAGGGATGGAGGATGGATTCTGAAACAACTGCACTGCTGGAAATGGCTCTTTTCATGTATTGATGTGGTGCATATTGTTAAAGGGGGTTGGGGCACATATAGGTGGTAATTAAGCCTTAGGTTAAAACATGGTGCAGGTGGAGGCACCAAGACGGCTAGCGCCACAGGGATCGCGCAGTATCGCGAATCCCTGCCGCTGCCGAAGCCGACAAACCGGAAGTTTGCTGAGCTAATGAATAAACCACCATTGCACTACCAAGGAGCTGGAGTTTGTATTCATTTCAGGACAAATCTTCAATACTCAAGGACTGGCTGAGAATTAGCTGATTTCTTAAATGGAACATTTGACTCAGTGCTACCAAGTCAATTATGTCTGGTTGTGAAGTTTATCATGGAGAATTTATTTAAATGAATTGTTTCATTTAATTGGGAATATAGCAACATTATACTGTATATTATTGGCATTAGAATTATTGAGTTATCTCTTTGTTTTATATGCTTCTTGTAAGTGATGTAAATAATTGTTTCTATGAATACACAATGTACACAACAATGGGTAAATTATTCCTGATGCAGCAGTGCTTTCTTCCTAAATAGGAAGTGGATGATATGCTTTTCCCCATATGTATTTCTTAAAACAGTCATAAACTTTCTTTCCAGCTAAAGGAAATGCATTGTTGATAGGACTTTGACATTTTATTTTGAATATTTGGAATGCGGTTTGTGGCTTTTGTGATTTTTTTCGGCATGAATTGTCAACATCTAATCAAGGATGAAAGCTGTTTAGGAATGGCATGCTACTGCAGAAGAATTGGTCTCTCCACTTTCATCATATTAGTCATCATATTATGCTCAGTTTTACAATGTGATATATGGAGATGTTTTACCATAGCACATGAAAACTGATTGATTTAACTCTTTTAGACATTTGCAGTTGCGGGCTTGGGATCCGGGCTAACAGAAGCAGTTGTGGTTAACCCTTTTGAAGTAGTCAAGGTTAGCCTCCAGGCGAATCGGGATGCTTTCAAAGAGGTAGAGTAACTGGGATGGGGTTTTTTTCAATATGTTGGGGAATTGTATGTATATATCTTCATTAAGCTCTGGGGGTGGATTTCTTGAGTTGGTTAAAAATAAGTGGTGATTCCAGTGTAAGTGTTGTCCCATCAAAATACCTGACAAATCAAATCAAATATACGATAAAATACACTGGAGGGGGGAAGAGAGAAGAGGTTTTAGGAATGAATCCCAAATAATTTATTATCTTATGCTATAATTAAAAAAATGAATTTCAGGTTCTATCAGAAGAGGGAACAGAAGGAAAACATGGAAAATGGAAAAAATTCTTTTTTCCTCCTAACTTATTTTGCTAAGTCCTATGCTATACTCTAGTGAAGTGCTGCTTCAAAATTTTATGATGGAGTTTCCCAAGCATTCTCAGTATAGTAAAAAATGATTAATTGGAGAGAAGCATTAGAAATTTAAATGTCGTAGCCTGAGTAAACTACCATATTTCTTGGTGCAGGACAATAGATGATTCTAACTCTGTCATGTAACCCATTAGTGGATATGAGTGTGTGAATTCATCAAAGGGATCACCACTGCTGGCCAGTTTCCCTGATTCATTAATAACTGTAGATATAGTGCGGAGCAAATGTACATCCGGAGTGGGATTCAAATTTTTTAACAGCCGGTTCTGAGGACGTGGCTTAGTTGGTGGGCGTGGCTTGGTGGTCATGTGACTGGCTGGGCATGGCCAACTCAATATCACTCACATCGAGGCACACATCTCCTCGCCTGGCCTCTCGTGACTGTGGGGATGCTGCAACAGTTGTAAGTGTGAAAAACGGCCATAAGTCACTTTTTTCAGTGCCACTGTAACTTTGAATGGTCACTCCACACAAGCAAAGTACCAGCAAAGGAAGGAAAAATAACTCCAGAGAAGTTCCTGAGACAGGAAGTCTAGTCCTGCCAAGAATGTAATAAGGGTTAACGAAGAGGCAGTTTCTGTAAGAAACACCAGAATGTTTCCTTCCTGCCTTCCTTACAGGATTAGGCCAGTAATTTCTTCTAACAACCGGTTCTCTGAACTGCTTAGAATGTTAACAACCGGTTCTAGCGAATAGGTGTGAATCTGTAGAATCCCACCCCTGGGTATCCATATGCCAGATGTAATAGATTATTGTGCACTTAATAAGTATAGTCTTCGATACTATACTAAGCTTTATTTCTTATTTGTGGTGGCCCAACATAAGTAGAACCAAACATGCATAGTTGATTTCTCTCTCCACATACTCACACAATCAGATTTATCCAACAAACAATCAATGAATAAATTTCTACATATTGAAAAAACCCTCCCTTTTTACAACCCTGTATTCCTGATCACACATAATAACCATCTAGTAATTATATATTTAAGCACTGGACTAAACAGACAAGCAGTTTGGTGTAGCTGTTAAGGCACCAGGCTAGAAACTAGGAGACTCTATGGGTTCTAATCCTGCTTAGGAACAAAAAACCAGTTGGATGACCTGGAACCAGTCACTCTCATTCTCTCAACCCTAGGAAGCTGGCAATGGCAAACCACTTCTGAAATCTTGCGAACAAAACTGCAGGGACTTGTCTAGGCAGTTGCCAGGAGTCAATGACGATTATGATTTTTTAAAAAAGACTAAATGAATTAAACAGGTTCAAAATGCACTTTCTATATGTACTTAAAAGCTTAGGAATTCTCAGCTTATAGTTAGTTAGTTAGTTAGTTAGTTAGTTAGTTAGTTAGTTAGTTAGTCAGTCTCTTTGAGTAATAAATATGCCTTCTCACAAACTACTTTTAAGTTTCCTGAATTTTAAATATAAAGCTATGTGACACAGTAAGGAGGGTGAAAACTGTGTCCCATCCTCTTGTGTGTACAATTCTTATTTAGCCTTCTGAAATAAAAATTTTAATGATTGCTTTTGTCCAACAATGTTTTCCTCATCTAAATCCCATCTAAATATTTTTATTTTATTTTTTCAGATACTGTTCTAATTTCCCCTGTGTTTGAAGGTCAAGCTTGCTATATCTATGAATGATACTCACTTTGGGATGAAATGCTCCTTTGGCACTACTACCTTCATAAATGAGATTTCTCTCCTTATTCTTACCCACAGAGGAGGTAATTAAGTGCCCTCTCTAGTCCATTTTCACTCTTGCAGATAGATTAACAGCAGCTGCATTTTCAAAACTATTCAGAAGTATTCCCAGCATAAGTCCCACAGTTTTCTACCAGATTTAATTATTAAAAATCTACTGTATTTGGGGTTGTAGATTTAAGTTGCAATCTGATAAGGTGACGTTTACCAAACTGACATGATTAAATAGTTGCAAAGCAACTCTGGCTTAGGAAACAACTTTCTAAAGTCGAACTTTTCCACCTCAGAAGGTCTGAGTACATATAGCAAGTGCATTTATAATTTAGGAACATTCAGAAACTGACAGGGGAACTTCACAACCCCCTTCTGAAACTTAATAATTCTGCTGTTCTTCATGATTTCTCTACAGGATTCTTAAGTAAATAAACATGGTGTTTGACTTCAAATGCAATAGAAATGAATCTCTCTGTGAACAATACGGTTTGACATGTTTGAATATGTTCAAGAATTTTCTAAAGAAAAGGAAAGAGAGAAAAGTGGTTGAAAATCCTTTCCTAATTTTTTTTTAATTTAAAAAAAATGCTAGCAAAGCTTATAGAAGGTCATGGTAATTGACAAGGCAGATTTGCTGGCTTAATTTTTAGGGTAACTACAAAATTCACGTAATAAGAATATATAATTTAATAACAGGTTATCCACAAATTTATTGACAAGCAAAATGATGAATATACAAAGGGGCTTTTCTTCTCTTGCTGAAGTCAGAAAAATGAATAGAAAAATCCGGACAAGATTAAAATGTGTCAGTACAGTCCTCCTTTAAGTCCATAATTAACTAGTACCGAAAACTCATATTTATTATTTTCTGATCCATGTTTCAAGGTAGAAATAGCAATAGCACTTAGACTTATATACTGTTTCAAAGTGCTTTACAGCCCTCTCTAAGTAGTTTACAGAGTCAGCATATTGTCCCCAACAATGTGGCTGCTCATTTTACCAATCTTGGAAGGATGGAAAGCTGAGTCAATCTTGAGCCGGTGAGACCTGAACTGCCCAACTGCTGGCAGCCGGTGATCAGCAAAAGTAGCCTGCAGTACTGCATTCTAACCACTGTGCCACCACAGCTAATAATTGCTATAATGGGACTACGTTAATTCCTTTAAGAGTTCAAAATAATATACTACAAATGGGGGTTCCCTCTTTCAAATGGATAAGGTAGATTCTCCTTCAAACTTAGTTTGACTCCTGGTAACTACATAAAGATAACCTTGTAGTTCTCCTGACAGTAGTAAAGAGGTGGCCTTCCATGACTACCTTCTGGGGTGCATTTTTTACTTCTCAATTTGATCTAAACCTTAGTATTCACTGGTCATCTTCCATCCAGTAGAAAGAAACTGATAGATTTTTCAAGATCAGTCAAAATTAGCAGGATGCTGCCAGCTGCTGTTACTCTTCCAAACAGAGATAGCTTGAATTGAGAGTGTCTGGATTAATTCATGGCTCAACTAATGGTGAGTTTCCATAACTAAGTCAAAGTCTCTTCTCTCTGGGCCTAATCAACAGGATATTCACTTCTTTACACTGTTTTTTACCAGACCAAGTTATAAATACCTGGCAAGCATATGTAAATAAAAATGAAGCAATATATTAAAAGAATATCCAGCCTGACTGTCACCTGAATAAGCAGAAACCAGATGACTTTGATATGGCATGATTCGTTTGGGTGATTTACTTCAATGATATTTTGTCATTAAACAAATGAATACAAGATGACATAAACATCATTTAAAGAGTTGTAGTCAAAATGGTCTTAATTTCCCTATATAAGCATCCTTGTGACAGTCGTGTTTTGCCTTTCTAATTAAACATTTGATTACACAAATATAACTTTAGTGAATAACAAAACTAAACAAATAAAACCTTGATAGAAAAAAACCATATTTAATTTGGGGCTAGACAATTATAAAAAAAGAAATCTTCCACACCAATTGGCTTGGGTTGGAATTTTGAAAGCTTAAGGACCTAGATGTTCTATGTATGCATATGTGCATAAACCTCCTAGCTGGGGAAATGCAGGAAAAAATATGCAGGCAGCCATATGTGGATTTGCAAAGTAGTCTCTAGATTAGAGGTTCCAGCCTGCACAGCAATATATGCCCACTTGGAGTAAACCTGGGCTTTGGCCATGCATGAGGCATTAGCCAAAATATACCCAAACTGAGCTTTATTGTTTTTATTGTTAGCAGGAATGCTATATGGAGCACAAGTGCAACTGGGCTTGAATGCATGGTGAACCTTGTTCCAAAGGTACTTTTTCCAAAAGGCAACTGGACTTTTTTTTTTTTTTGTTATTTTCCTTTGAAAACGTTTTCATTTCTCATCCAAGAAGCTTCTTCAGTACTTGGATGAGAAACAAAAACATTTTCAAAGGGAAAAAACAAAGTCCAGTTGCTTTTGCCACTTGGAACATAAATGGTAAATAGGATGGGTTAAAGCAGTGGCAGATTAAGGCTCACTGGTGCCCTAAACACTGACAAATCTTGGTGCCCAACCTCCTTTGTACATACTGTACAAACGAAGCCAAGCTTCATTGGTTTTTTTTTTTCTTTCTCAACTTTGTGGTGCCCCCTTTGGGCCTGGTGCCCTAAGCACATGCTTAGTCTGCTTAATGGTTAACATACCACTGGCAGAGGGGGTATTCAGCAGGTGCTGACCAGTTCTGTAGAACCGGTAGCAGAAATTTTGAGTAGTTCGGAGAACCAGGAAATACCACCTGTTCCATATTAGCAGGCTCGAAACCCTGCATTCCTATTGGCCCAGACAAGCTGGATCGTGATTGGATGGCTTGAACGTTCCTGATTGGCTCATACAGGGTTTGCCCCGATTGGCTAAAACCAAGCGCGGCAAACTCAAAGAGTTGTCATTGGCTGCCTAGCCGCGGCCAGCTCTATAAGAAGAGCTGCCGCGCGCTAGGGTTTTGTCTCAGAATCTATCCGCTTAATAAAGAGCTGTTGTTCACTACTCAAGCCTCGTCTATTCTTGGGACCCACCGACTGAACTTAACACCACCTCTGACTGGAGATTTTACAGTATCCTTCCCCTGCCTGCCCATAGAACTGGTAGTAAAAAAATTTGAATCCCACCACTGACCACTGGGATAAAGAAGAAAATGAATGAAAGTCACATAGATAATTTGCCTGTCTGTGAAATTAAGAGAAAGGGGAAGTATCTAAATGAAAGTGGTTTTGCTTTGCCAAATATGCAGGGAAGTGAAGATATAGGTTCAATGAAAAAGGTAAAGTGCACATGAAAAAATGTGGATTGGTTTGTCTAGATTAATTTGGATATATATGAAATCAGAATCCATTGACTCATAATATTCAATGTTACAATCCACTAAATGTTACTAAAAGAACAAAATATGATTCAGTTGGTGAAAAACTGTGCAAGGTCTGGATAAATTATGTCAAGGAAGAAAAACATTAGGAATTCAAAATTAAAAAATAGAAAGTAAGAAAAAAAAAACCGATGGAACCATTCCGATATCCAAAAAGGGATGAGGATCGGATAGTTGAAAAAGTTATCTTTGTTTTACATACATAGTGTGAGCATCAATCTATTTATATGTACACATGGGAAAAGAATGAATAAAAAACATAATTGATTTTATTGTTCATGATGAAAAATTAAAAATAATGAGTGAAAGATACAAGGTCCAAGTAAGACTGGAGATATCCAAATTCAACTCTGTTCCCAGACAAGGAAACCCACTTGAATGATCTAAGCCAGTTATGCACACTACTGAAATATTTATAGAGAAGTTTTGTCTTTTGCTTTATTTGTATAGCAACCATCCACCTTTGCTAAAGCTCACCAAATTATTCAGGCCAATGGGTGGGGTCTGAGTGGACTCAACAAAGGGCTGTCTGCTACTTTGGGACGTCATGGAGTTTTTAATATGGTCTATTTTGGATTCTACTTCAATGTGAAAAACATCATTCCTGCCAATAAGGTATGCACATTATTTTAAACTCTTTCACTGACCCATCTGAGATAAGGAATATTGTTCCAACTTTTTTCAAACAGTTGAAAAAACTGAGAGTACTACAGGTGAGAACCAAATATTTCCATAACTTCCATTTTTCCAAAACTGGACCTATGGACCTTCCAAAAGGAATAATAGTGCTCTCACATCTTACATCTAAACCCAAGATCCCTGTGACTCTTACCCTACTTCCTTTAAGAAAACCTGAAGGTTTTACTCTTCCCCCAAGGCACTGGACCAAAAAGTGATTTGAATCCATCATTTGAACTGATTTTTTTCTCCCAACATGATCATTTATTACATATTCTTCTTCTGGCTGTTATTATTTCTTTTAACCTCCTGTAAGCCTTACAAGGCCATCAGCAAGTGAGCAGCCTTGAAAATTAAAATTATAATGATAGCTAACATAAACAAACATGTTCAAGACATTTAGTTGGCTCTCCTTGGAAGTACAGTGTTGATCTAAAAGGGCAAATGGCTTGTCTTAAGGCTACAGAGTGCATATCTGACAGAGGTGGACTTTTTAAAAACTGCAGTATAGTATTACATAAGATAAGTTAATGTACCTGTGAACAAATGGATTTCATCGGAGCCACAAATTGAATACACCAAACAAATGTTAGTGTTTGAACTCCAAACACCCTTTAACTTGTACTTGCCCTTTAACCTATTGTGTTATATCTACTAAAAGAGTAAGTCTATCAGAATAATGAAGCTGTTGCTATCTCACAAAGGAACATAAACAGGAGAACCTCCACAGTAAGATTGGAAAGTAGGCAGTATATTTGATTCTTGAAAACTAGATTTGCAGTGAAACTATTGTCCCCATAGGATAAGGTATTAAAACTTGAGTCCTGGAAATACAAATTCCAGTACTAATAGATCCAATAGTATGTGTCTTTTAGACGTTAACTGGGACATTTCCAAGCCCAAATAGTACTAATATTGTATGAACAATGTACAGTATTTGGTTTGAACTTCAAGGATTGTCCACATTTGTTCAGCTTTTGAGAATTGAGGAGCACACCAAATATGGCATCCTCCTCTATGAAGCTGTTCTAAGAATTTTTCTTTATATGGTGCCCTGCAGTTACTTACAACTGTCATCAGCTCCAACTAATATGGGCAATGTGAGGGCAATGTGAAGGCAATGTGACTTGGAACTCAATCCATCTAGAGGGATGGAAGGGACCAGGTTGGGAAAGATTGCATTGAAGGACCTTCATTTAGCAAATTACCCCATACATTCAAAAGACCTTTTCGGTACTTGCATGGCACAAAATGGCAAAAGAACTTTTTTAGGTTGTACAGTATAAACAGGCTCAACAGGAAATTTAGCATAACAGAATTCACTTGCAGTTTGCAGTATTCACACACATGAGATTAAAACTTTATTGAGGAAATTTTACTCTCACTAAACTAATGTCCTGGGTAGGAAGGCCATCTGAGAAAGCATGAACTGCTGGATTGTGTCAGCACATGCAGAAAGCTGTTGTTTTAAAGCTGGCTTTATCGATAGCTAGTTAATGAATTTTTCAAAGCCAGGCAAAATTGTAGGCTTTGGACAAAACGTTTTGTACATTCTTCAGCCAATCTGCTTCATTGAGTTACTACTGTTCCTGATACAGAAAGGCATAGAAATCTGCTCTGCAATTCTAACGTTGCTGGATTGTTAATAGCAGGAAGCCAGGCCCCCTTGGTACAGTGCATCAGCTACACGCAAAGCTTAAATGTAAAAAAAAAAAAAAAAAAAAACTGGAGGAGGAAGGCAGCAGACTGAGATTAGCCTTTATTTAATTTAACATTTGGGGGTCCAATGCACAAATGAGCATTTTAGTAGGCTTCATGGTGGAAGTTGCTGTCATTTGTAAAATATTCTGGCCAATTAGCTAATAGTGTGCTTAGATTTCTCCCGTTTTGATACAGTAATACTAAGTACATTGTGAAGCCCAATTATACAAATCATCCCCATATGCTGAACTGGTCTTGCTTTTATGAACTGTGTTTATAAATCCTGTGTGAGGAAATGTGTACTTCAGCAATTTAGACCATGTGTAAAAACATAGCCAATCGGATTGTCAAGAAATGGAGCCCTGGCATTGGAAGTCCTAATGCATTCCACTAGAATAGCAGGAGTGTATTGTATCATGCAAGCTTTCTGATTAAATGCATATTATTTCATAGTCTTTAACCAGTTGAGGTGCTTCTATTCCTATTTTAACTTGGTTCATTTTATGACAGTCCTTCTCTTTCCCCAATCCATCGTCTTTCTTTTCCTCCTCTTCTCTCAGCTGTTTTGTTGGTTTGCTTATTTGTTCATCCAGGATCCAACATTGGAGTTTCTGAGAAAGTTTGGAATTGGGCTAGCCTCAGGAACAATAGCCTCAATTATTAACATCCCTTTTGATGTTGCAAAGAGTAGGATTCAAGGACCACAGCCTGTGCCCGGAGAAATCAAGTACAGGACCTGTTTTAAAACGATGGCAACCATTTATAAAGAAGAAGGGTGAAGTATTCACTTCAGTAAAATCGCATTGCAGATTTTCACTATGTAACACTAGATTTCATCAGGTCCCTAAAAATCTCTCTGCATAGTATTTATATATCAAACCTTTTCAAAGCTTCACAATTCAAAATATACACATGAAATTAAAAGAAAATTCTTCTATAGCCTGAGTTTTCTGAATTTTCATTTAACAAATTTCTTATTATATTATTCTGAAAAGACTCTAGTGTTCTACAGCAGACCATTCAGTTTATACACCTTAGTATCAATGGGTGCATTGGGGCAAGGGTGGCCATTTTTCCCCCCAGCACCAAGATAGTCTATATTTAATTGTTTCAATTGTAAATACTAAAAACATGCTGTTTGCCCAAATTGAGATTGAGGAAAGACAGCTTGTCAACATCTCTGCAAAGGGGGTTAGTGGAAGCAAGAATGTTTGGTTTTAAGCAGATCTAGAGGTCACAATGAAAACTGTAGGTTGAAGAGGCCCTGATTATGGCTGGATGCAAATTATACAGAAAAGGCTGTTTCATATATCAAAAAGGGTTTTGCATCTGAAGAATCAAAGTCATCCTAAGAGCTACTTCAGAGAAACGCCACTCGTCCTCCCACATTTCTAACTTTCTGCCATTTCTTTAGTCAGCGTTCTACCCTAGTCTATAGAGGAATGAGAGTGCAACATCTGCTTGTTTAATGAGCTGGCATACAATTGATCTGGAACATGACTTTAGTGTATTCATGGCATCAATATAGTACTAGGATTCCAAACTTTATGTATGCAAATAGTCTAAAGCAGGGGTCGCCAACCTTTTGGACCTCAGGGACCACCAAACTTATAATTTTAAATCCCAGGGACCACTACCCAGTTCTGTGGGTGTGGCCTAATTTGTGGGTGTGGCTTGGTGGTCATGTGACTGGCTGGGCATGGCTTGTATGTACATATTATAAATATTTATATAAATATTGATTTTTTATAAAAAAAGAGCAACTTTTACCCCAAATCAGGCAAAGCAGGCAGGCAGATTGAGTTGCTCACTAGAATCACAGATTCATTCAGAGATCTATCTGCCATTGGCTAGCTCAGTCTGTCACATAAAATTTGCTAGCAAGCAAACTCACAAAATTAACTCACAACACACCATGTATGTAAACATTGAATTTTTTATTTAAAAAAGGAGCAACTTTTACCCAAAATCAGGCAAAGCAGGCAGGCAGATTGAGTTGCTCACAGAATCATTCAGTGATCTATCTATCTGCCATTGGCAGCTCAGTCTGTCACATAAAATTTGCTTGCCGTGAGTCTGCACTGAATAATAGAACCTTCAGTTCTAAGAGAGATTCGGCTGTGCTTAAAAGCAGAGCCAAAGATCTAAAGACTAGCTAGAAAGCAAGAAATCCAACCATTTCCTGCTTCCTAGCTAATATAAAACTCCCAGCACAGCAGAACAGCTAATGGTCAGAAAAAGGAAAAATAGCAATTTAGCAGCAAGTTTGCTGGGTAAGGAGTGAGTGGGCGGGGAGGGTTCCTGTGGGCCATGTGGGCGGCGCAGCCTTGTGTTTCTGCACAGCCTGGATTAATTGCTTTGTGAGGATGCTCTGGGGGTGAGATTTCTCTGCGGCCCACCAAAATTTTCTCGCGGGCCACCAGTGGACCACGGCCCACTGGTCTAAAGTAAGAACTCAATCACAACATAGTTAAAGTAGAGCCATTAGAATGGTGCATGTTTCAGAAAGGATAGAATGCAATGCTTTCAACCTTGCATAAGGACAACACTTCTCTACTATTCACTAAAATATTCTGTCAGAAATTAAGTATCCATTGTCTTTTCCAGGAAGCACATAAGCCAGCTAAGTCCAAGTTTTGTTGTAAGCAGACTGATGAGCTATTAAGAAACCCCGATCAATGTAACTGAAATTTTTCATTGTTTTTCTACAGATTTTTAGCTTTATACAAAGGCTTGGTTCCCAAGATCATGAGGCTAGGACCAGGTAATTCTTTTCTCATTCACTATTAATGCTATCATAATTTTATTTATATACAGTGGTACCTTGGTACTCAACCGCTTTGAAACTCATCAAATTTGGTACTCAATGCATTTTGACATGAAAATTATGTCCCGGTACTCATCATTTGTTTGGTACTCAATGCACAAGCTAGAACTTGTCAGTGTCAGCTGCCTTGTTGACTCACCACAGTATTCCCTATGGGAAACATGTGTTTCATATTCATCATTTTTGGTACTCATTGTGTCTCCCAGAACCAATTAACGATGAGTACCAAAGTACCATTGTAGTTTATTTTGATTCAGTAACTTCAGACTCCAAATACGTAGTCTGATTTGTACTATGTCTCTTATTATATACTATGTTATTACTGTTCTTGGTTTCTTTTTCTCCCTCATACATGCTCACTGCTCAATCAACGGTACAGTAAATAAAAGCAAGAAAAAAAATCTGGTAAAAGGACATACCCAAACCCAAATCTCTACCCTATTTGCCAGATGTTGAAGCAGATTTTAGTTTTAACTTATCTTCTTTCCATTATAGCTGACCTGTAAAATCAAACTGATACCTTTTGGCAGGTGGTGTCATTAGCCTATTATTTTATTCCAGCTATTGCATAGGCCAGTGGTGGCTAACCTTTTTGGGCTCCTGTGCCGATAATTGTGTGTGCGTGGGGGTCCGCCCCATGCACATGCACGTGTGCCCCCCCGTGCATGCCTTGCATCTCTGCGCATGCACGTGTGACCCTCCCGCACACCGCACATCTCTGCACATGCATGAATGACCCCCTGCGTGCGCCGCACATCTCTGTGCATGCTGACGTGTCTGCCGTGTATCCCCGCCCCCTGTGCATGCGCACCAGATACCCAACAATCAGCTGTCGGGTGCAGTAGACCTGCTCTGGGCGAGGGCTCTTGTGCCAGCAGTAATGGCTCTGCGTGCCACTTCCAGCACGCGTGCCATAAGTTCGCCATCATGGGCATAGGCCTTTAATTGTATATACAAAAGTTAATGGGTGGAAATGAACACATTTAAGGAACAGTGGGAAGTTGAGTGCTGGGATATTTCCACCCCAGCCCTTTGGAACATATACCCAAGATTGGGTTCCTGAATACATCTTTCCAGAATATGAACCTCCCTCCAAATAGGTGGATTTCCAGGAATCTCTAGCTAACATGGCCATTGAAAAAGGTTCAAATCCACACATTTGGAAAGGTACATAGTTGGAGGAGATTGTCTTGGTAAAAATATTATCATGGATATATTTGACCCTGGATTTTTAAAATTTGTTCAGATGTTATTTATGTACTCATTTTGTATACAGGTAGTCCTTAATTAGGACCAGAAACTGCATCATTGGGTGATGTGGTCATAAGTTTAAACAAAAAACAAAAAACACATGACTGTACCACTTATCAACAGCAGTTCCAGAAGTCCATGATGCTGATAAGTGAGAACCATTAAACAAGGCCCTTGTGTGACTGTTACTAGCAACTTCCTACCAGCTTCCCTATTGACTTTGCTAGTGAGAAGCCATCAAGGAAGGTTGCAAATCACAATCATGTCACTGAGGGATTCTGCAACAGCCTTAACTACAAGGAACTGTTATAATCACCACTCACTCAGTGCCACCGTAAATTCAAACAGACAGCTGCTGTATGAATGGTCATTAAACAAGGACCACCTGTGCTCCCCAGGTTATGCATGTATTATTAGTGTGTGAAGTTTAAAACCAGAACCATCAAAATTAATTTCATTTATTCTCTCATATGAATATTCCTATGTTGGTTGACCACTATGGTCACTAGATTAGATCAGATTACATAATGGGAATTGGAACTATGCTCCAAGGATAATAAACTTCCAGTTCACTTTGTCTTTGATCAGCTATGATAAAGACCACAAGAAAACTATTACCACCTTCTAAATAAACACAGAATGTTTTTCTCTTTGTGTTGGCTTACTCAGCAGCTAATGAAGGCGTAATCTCAAAAAGATCTGTCAGATTGTTTCATTTGAAATACCTATTAGATGTGAAGTATACAAAATAGTTTCTCCTAATATTTTTACAATGGAGATTCCCTTCATAAAAAGTTTATTTTGTCCAGGAAATAACTAATAGACATAGCTATTTTTTCCCATGTGGGAAATTCACCCAGTCTGTTGTAAAATGACAACTGGGTGAATTTGGCTTTAGACCAGTGAAGACATGCTGTGGACTTAAGAAAGCTTTGCTGCATTTTGATGGCTTCTCCCCCATAATACATACACATTGTGTGTATAATACATATTGTGTGTACAAAGTTCTGCACCAAAATATAAAATGCAAGACCCAAACATTTCTTTATTTCCAAATAATTTCAACTGATTGGTATAGAAAAGTCAGAATTCCTTCCATGATGTGCTACTTCTTAAATTTTGTACTTCAAAAAATTATTTCTTTTCTAGGTGGTGCAGTGATGCTGCTGGTTTATGAATATGTTTACGAGTGGCTTCAAGAAAACTGGTGACCAAAAGTACTAATTTCAGACTGAAAATAATGTAAAACAATTCCTATCAAATAAAAAAAAATTGGGCATCAGCATTTATAGGCTTAAAAAAGAAAGGGAGAATTGTACAATGGTGGAAAATAAATGGCCTTGGTTACTGAAGGCCAATAGTAGTAAATATTCTTCAGGGGGAAAAAGTTGATATATTTCAACCCAGATGCAAATACTATCCCACTAAGTATTTTAAAAGAATATAATGTATGTCTGTCAAGCAAATTAAAAGTGTTCATTTGAACTATCTCTTGTTGACTCCTTGACTGAACAAATCTATTGTTTAAGACAGGGGTCTCCAACCTTGGCAACTTTAAGACTTGTGGACTTCAACTCTATATATATTATAAAGGGCCCATTATAAAATGCAGCAAATTATATATAAAGAATATAAATAATATTCTTATATATAATTTGCTGCATGTTATAATGGACCCTTTATAATGGCCTTTTATAAAATTGGTTCGGCCCTCGAACGCAGATCTGATTTTCCATGTGGCCCCCAACAGAAATTAATTGCCCACCCCTGTTCTTATTGGTAGCCTCTACCTTTCAAATTTCCTCTGTACAGAGAACAGTCTGGCTATGAAAACCATTCTACTTTTCTATGGCTTCTGGTTTTAACGTTTTTAATATTTGCTCTCATCAAATATTTGAAACTGCATTTTATTTTCCATGTAAGATACTTACTTCTATCATTGGATATTTCATATTACTGGTTTATAATGCAAACTGCATTCAAAAGACTATAATGCTGAAAGATGGCTATGAAATATAGATTTAAAAAACTATTTCTCAAAACTTCAAAGAAAAGTGAGATAATTGAATTCTTTTTTTAAAAAAATAGTATTTTTATAATGATGTTTGAGGCATATTATGTGTAAGACAGAGGAAATATCTTAGCGTTTGTAAAGATATTTGTGTTGACATAACCATGTAGAAAAATTGCCTAGATTATATTATGCTGGCTTTTAAAAAATGTTTGTAAGTAGTTGATGTCAACAAAATGTTTTGTTATGTAGTGTTTCCAATACATGAATTAAAAGTCTTCAGAGGAAATATGATATTTCTCTATTTTGTTGTTGTTGTTAATTTAGCATGTTCAAAATTCAAAAATAAAATGCATTTACATATATGGCTTTTGGCTGTACTTCCAACATGACTTTAAGTATATTTTCAACCTTATCTTTCAGTAAAATAAAATTATTTGATAGTACCCTCAACCCCAAACAAATGATACTTTTAATGACTAGAAAGACTTGTTTTTCTGCCTGAGCCTATAAAGTTTGCAGAATGTGATAGAAAAACATGATTAGTATTAATCATGCTGTTTAGATATAAATCTAACTTCTTTCAGTAGGATGACTTTTTAATATAGTAATTTTATTAGAAATTACAATTAAAAATAAAAAATGCAAACTAAAAGAAATAAAAAATAAAATAAAAATACTGCAGAAAATAAAAATAAAAAATAAGGAAATAGTAAAGTAAAAGAAATATCTTCATCTCAACTAGTATAACATTCTAGTAATTTATCATCTCTTAAAATACAATAAATGATCTTGTCTTCCACTTTTAGATCTCTTATCTATACAAGTAGTCTTTGAGTTACAACAGTTCATTTAGTGACCGTTCAAAGTTACAACGGTACTAAAGAAAAGTGACTTATGACCATTTTTCACACTTATGACTATTGCAGTAAAAAAAAAACCATGGTCACATGATTTAGATTCGGCTACTTGACAACTGACTCATGTTTATGACGATTGGAGAGTCCTGGAATCATGTGACCCGCTTTTGCGACCTCCTGACAAGCAAACTCAGTGGGGAAACCTAATAACCGTTATTAGTCACCTAATAACCATGTTACTAATTTAAGAACTGAAGTGATTCACTTAACAAATGTGGTGAGAAAAGTTGTAAAATGGAGCAAACTCACAACAAATTTCTCACTTAACCACATAAATGTTGGGCTCAATTGTGGTCATAAGTTTAGGACTACCTGTAAACAAATCCTTAAAAGCTCATTCTTCAGTACTGGTCGGCAAATATACATTAAGGATTACCAGAGAGAATAACATATCTATCCACATATCCTTGATCAACTAAAACAACTATTCATTCCTTTTGCTTTTATCAAACTTGATATTTAATCATTTCAAATATTGTTTTAATGTTCCAGAACTTGATTTTTTTTCATTTTTTCTTTATTCTTTCTCCCAAAATTCTTCAAAGCTTTAACAAGCCTTTTTTGTATATCCAATACAGGAAAATTATCCAGGTCACTCTCTGGGTTTGTTATTTGTATATCCCTTTAATTACTAAGACACCCACTGGCTTTTTTAATATCTAGCATGACATCTTTTTTCCACATTATTCTTGTAGCTTATCATTTTTAAATCCACTTTCAGATCAGTTTCACTCTTGTCCAGTAAAGCTTATTCCTGTTCCATTCCATCTTTAAACTGTAAAGGCAAACACTCTTAAAATTATCTTCATTATATCCAGTGTTAAGATATTTTTCCATTCGGTATCAATAAGCCAATTTAAGTATTCTTCTCCTTTAATAGTAATCTTTAGCTCCTTTTGGTTTCCTCTAATATCCAATCTTTGTCCTATTATGTTTTTAAAGAGAAGTCAAAACAAAAACATTTTTCCTCAAAACATTAATCTGAGACTCTAGAAAGAGTGCAGAGAAGAGCAACCAAGATGATTAGGGGACTGGAGGCTAAAACATATGAAGAACGGTTTCTGGAATTGGGTCTGTCTAGTTTGATGAAAAGGAGAACTAGGGGTGACATGACAGCAGTGTTCCAATATCTCAGGGGTTGCCACAAAGAAAAGGGAGTCAAGCTATTCTCCAAAGCACCTGAAGGCAGGACAAGAAGCAACAGGTGGAAACTAATCAAGGAGAGAAGCAACCTAGAACTAAGGAGAAATTTCCTCACAGTTAGAACTGTGTCTGAAATAGTATAGGGTTTCCTGCCTAAGCAAGGGGTTGGACTAAAAGATTTCCAAGGTTCCTTCCAACTCTGTTATGTTATTCTGTTCTAAGAAGGATTCGTATAATTAATTCCAAATTCTTATCTCAAATCTATCTGGACCATTTGTCCATTTGTATCTTTCCAAAAATCAAACTTCTAGCTATTCTTTTGCTGTTTATTCCAAAATGTTTAAGTTCTTAAACTTGTAATTAAAGTTTATTTTGCTAATGATTGAAGGAAACTTACCTGGGCCTATAAAAGCTGTCAATTCAAAGATCCCTATAGGCAGGGGTGGGATTCAACTGGCATTACTACCAGTTCGGTATTTGTGTCTTGCGCGCATGTGCTACACCATTAGCTGAGCCACCAGGACAGCTAATAAGCGCTGCACACGGTTGCGCAGCGTTTCAAAAAGCACTTTTTAATTGCTTTTCAACCTCAGCTGTGCCGTGCAAAGCAGCTGAGGTTGAAAAAGCAGGAAATAAAGGTCAGGTAGGAGCCCAGGCAGGCGGGTGGGCCAAACAGCAGCAGACACAGAACCGGTTCTGTGTCTGCTCCTTTTCAGAGCTACCGGTTCTATAGAACTGGTAGCATCCCACCCCTGCCTATAGGGTCTGTAGTTTGAGCAAAGACAATTTTCCCTCATCTTCCACAGTTCCAAATTGCAATCTTCTTGCAAGGAGCAACTGTATGGAACACTTGTGGGCAAGTTTCAAATCCACTCCTTGTCCTAAAAGGGATTACAAAGAGCCAATCAATTTGCCGGCTTTTTATTCTGTCAAGGTCATTGAATCCAGTTTCAATGGAGTCATCTTCAGTTCACCATTTCTTCCCCTGAAGTCCTTTTCCATAGGATTTCCAGGTGAGCATCCCAATCAAAGTCATATATTTTGTAAATGGAAAAACAACTGTTCTAAAATCAGTTGGTGGCAAGACAACCTATCAGCAGTGGTTCTTTTAAACCAACTATCGATGTAGTATTTCATCATATTCTTTACTGAAGGCAGAAGATACAAGATTTGAGGAATTATTAATAAATTAGGGTACATTCAAGAGAGTTTATGTAGCTCTCCTCATTTCCATTCTCAAGTAGAAAGGAAGAACATGTAGATAAGTTCTATTTCTTTTGTGGCTAGCATGACTGTGAGAAAGGGCTGAAGCATGTATCAGAAAGTGTAAATTGGTTCATCTAGTTTGTTTTAGTTACGTATGAAATCAGAATCCACTGACATTCTATATTACACTCCACTAAATGTTGCTAATAAAAAAACAAGACATGAATTTATGGGAAAATGTGCAAACTCAGGATAAATGCTACCAAGGAGAGAAACTATGTTAGGTGACATGAATGGATGGATAGGAATCAAAATGAGAAAAAATGATTGGGGGATTCAGACACCTAAAAATGAATGCAATAATACTAAGTTTTCTATGGTTAGATACTGGGAAGGTGATATGTGAGAAGTAGTATTAAGACTCAGGGACACATACTGTCGCTACACACATTTCCATGTCAACCTGATCTGTCTTGCTGAAGTTGGAAAAAATAAGTTCCTTGAAACTACAAGTGGTCCAAGTAAAGAGATGTGTAGCTCCAGTTGAAAAAACATGTTCCCTGCTTATTCAACAAGATTTAAATACGTGCCCACATTTTTCTACATCATCATCTTGTGCCAAATTTAAAAGGAAAGTATGTCGTTCATGTAGCAATGTTCACCTTTCACCTCCTTTGAAATTACAACTTATATGTAGTCCACTTTTCTGTTTATTTCTCAAACCAGCATCAAGTCCCAAGTGAGCTTTAAAGCGAGGTGATTTGCGCCTAAGCCCCAAATCCTAGGTTGCGATTCTATCCTATACTTATTTGGCCTACAAAAATTCAGCGAGGTTTACTTCTGTGTGTAGGCACAGGTTAAATCGCTTTTTTCAATCATGCAAAATGTGCAGGTGCATGTGTCTGCCACATGAATCACTTCTCTTTATGCTTGAGTATGAAACTAGATTTAATGTTTTCAATTATAACAAAAGAAAGAGAGCTCAGTGGTCTAATACTTGCATAGACTGTAGAATTCTCCAAGTCCAATCCCTGGAGTCTGCAGCAAGTAATAGACATGAACATTGGCTACAGGAGGCCTCGAAAAAGTTTTTGCTAGCCAAAGAAAATAGTGTTGGAGTAGAGGAAGAAATATTTTAAAATCTCAGTTCTGGCTAGTACTTAACCCTGATATCTGAAAGTTTCCAGCTGAACATCTGCCTTCTCCTATAGTCAACAGGGAGAACTTCAGGCTCAAGATGATTGATACTATAAAGCAGTACTCACTCAACACCACGGGTTACTTGTACATGTCTCGTCTTGTTGAGATGAAGAAAACGGACCATTATGACATAATAGCTACAGCATGAATTATTTACATTTGAAGAGAACAAATGAATTCTTGAGGGATCATTTGAGAGGCCTCCTCTCAAATGATCCCTCAGCTGCTTTGCCCCACTTGTGAGGCAAGCTTTGCCCCACTTGTGAGAAATTCATGGATTTGTAGCACTGACATTTTGATGCATGGGCAAGAATTGCCCCAAGAGGAGCTTTGTTGGTTATGTTTACTTGGAAGCAGGAATTATTTTAGTTCAAGAAAACTCACTTCCAAGTGGGTTGCAAATGGCTGCAGCCCAACTCCAGAGTAGTCCCAAAGGTGCTTTTTCAAGAGGCAACTGGACTTTCTGGTTTTTCTTTGAAGCTCTTGAAGACAATGCTGAAGAAGCTTCTTGGATGACAAGCAAAACATTTTCAAACAAAAACCAGAAAGTCCAGTTGCCTCTTGAAAAAAGCACCTTTGAGACAACCATGACCTGGATGACTGAGAATCTCCACAGACATTCAACTTCAGAGTACTTATGAAAACAAGTATTCTTCTGAATGAAGTCTGTAGCTGAAGGGATTGGTGAACCTCAGGGGAACAGTGCTTTTATTTGATTAAGGATTCCACAAAAAGGCACCATGTATTACAAGCATGGGCCTTTGGGCGTTTGGGCCTTACAAATAAGTACAAATATGTACTTACTTTCTGGTCAGCTGGTTCTAGCAGTACTTAAAAATAAAATAGGAGTCTGAAAAAAGTCTACTGATACCAATTACAGTTTGTGAATATTCTCTTTTCAATCTATGATTGAATAATTGCAAAATGAACATATTTTGGAACATTTTCCAGGAAGCCTCAATATGATATCACACATGATTTCCCCTGAATTGCCTTAGAGATCGACCTTTGTTGACCTTTTAAAATAATAACATGACATTTTCAGAAAAGAGACAAGATCTTATCTTATTCTCCCAGCAGTATGCTTAGGCGTAATATGGCTAGGAAGAAATGTAGATAATTTTATTAAGCAGTCTTTCAAAATCTGTATTGAGCGACGTGTTTTTACATTATTGCACTAGACTTACAAAAGTACATAATATATTAATATTTAATCACGCTAGGAGATGTGTCAATTTTCAAATCTTTCCTCCTCGTGGTTATCTTCAACACACAATGGCAAGCTTGAGCAGGTTTCCAAAACTATATTCACAACTTTATTATTGTCCAAGGAGAACAGACCATCTTGAAAAGATTATATTGGAAAAAAATAGAGAGCAATTGGAATCCAAGTGACCATGAAAAGATGCTTGATAAAGGATACAGAAATGAAAAAGATGAATATTGTTAACATTATAAATAATATCTGTAGTACCACCACCAATATGTCTATGAATGAAACATGCTTATGTACAATAATGTAAACTTTACCAAAAGCCTATTTTAGTTTTACATTCAATAAAACAGGAATTGTAGACATTTTTTCTTCTTTAACTTTTTAAAATGGCAACCATAATTTGGGAGGCTGGGGCTGGAATTACTGAACTCAGCTAAGCAAAGAAATTACAGTACAATTTGCTTTCACAGTGGTTACTTGCATCATAATTCACCCACTTTCTTCCCAAGCACCCCACCCCAAAAAAAGGAATTGGAGGTAAAACTCTTATTATGGATTGGCTTATTGGCTTATTAAAAAATCTCTGCCCACGATTTCACATTAAAGAGACAGGATAACTTTCCGTTTTATTTCATTTTTTCCCCATCCGTGCCTCTTTCATGTCAGTGATGCTACAGTATTATGAATGTAAGTGATTAAATACCATATGGAAAATATTTTCTCTATACAGTATATCCAGAAAAATCAATCATTTTTAATGCCACTGAAATAAATGGATTGATATACTAGTAAGTAAATGTTGATCATAGGCTGCTTCTGCGGAAGAAAAAAGGGAACATTAACTTTGCTGATTCTACCTCCTCCTATAATTTATTGTATCTCTTGAAAGGCTGTGCCAAATGCTAGGAGAGTTTACTGAAGAGAACAGAATGGATGATTGTGGCATAATTGCTGATTATGTTTATTTATTACATTTATTATTTTTAGCAGCAGTTTTCATTGAACATTAGTGCCTTCCACAAACAAAAGGCATCCTTTCATTTGTGAAAGAGAGAAACTTTCTGAATTCAACCCGCTAGGAATATAGAGTAGTCCTCATTTAGCAACTGCCTTGTTTAGATCTGTTCACTGTTACTACAATGATAAAAAGGTAACTTTGCAACCAATCCTCCCATTTATAACCTTTGCAGATCTGTAAAGCAAAGGAAAGCTGATCATAAGCACAGTTGCAGTTTCATTTAGCAACCACTTCACTTAGGAACACAGTTGCCAGTCCCAATTATGGTCACTAAATGAGGACTTGTACTCACTTTAGGTCAGCGGTCGTCAACCGGTGGGCCGCAAAAAATTTTTTGGTGGGCCGCAGAAAAATCTCACCCCCAGAGCACCCCCTCCAAAGCAATTAATTCAGGCTGTGCAGAAACACAAGGCTGCGCAGCCCACATGGCCTGCAGGAACCCTCCCCGCCCACTCACTCCTTACCCGGTAAACTTGCCTGCTAAATTGCTCTTTTTCCTTTTTCAGACCATCATCTGTTCTGCTGTGCTGGGAGATTTAGATTAGCTAGGAAGCAGGAAATGGTTGGATTTCTTGCTTTCTAGCTAGTCTTTAGATCTTTGGCTCAGCACAGCCAAACCTCCCTTAGGACTGAAGGTTTGCTTGCAAGCAAATTCAGTGCAAACTCATGGCAAGCGAATTTGAGAGACTGAGCTAGCCGATGGCAGATAGATAGATCTCTGAATGAATCTGTGATTCTGTGAGCAACTCAATCTGCCTGCCTGCTTTGCCTGATTTTGGGTAAAAGTTGCTCTTTTTTAAATAAAAAAATTCAATATTTACATACACGGTGTGTTGTGAGTTAATTTTGTGAGTTTGCTTGCACGCAAATTTTATGTGACAGACTGAGCTAGCCAATGGTAGATAGATAGATCTCTGAATGAATCTGTGATTCTGTGAGCAACTCAATCTGCCTGCTTTGCCTGATTTTGGGTAAAAGTTGCTCTTTTTTTATAAAAAATCAATATTTATATAAATATTTATAATATTTACATACAAGCCATGCCCAGCCAGTCACATGACCACCAAGCCACACCCACAAATTAGGCCATGCCCACAGAACCGGTTAGTGGTCCCTGGGATGTAAAATTATGAGTTTGGTGGTCCCTGAGGTCCAAAAGGTTGGCGACCCTTGCTTTAGGTTCTTTGCTGGAAAAACCAAATGTTTTTCCTTAAATCCAAGTGCTTTCAGGAAGTTTCATACTATGCCGCAAACATAGAATTATCAAAACTTGAACCATTAATACAAATGACATCACCAAGAAGAGAAACAGCAAATTGCTTGGAAATCCTTTCCCATTTTGGCAAACTCGGTGAATTGGGAATGCAATTCATGGAATTCCCACTGAATGTTCTGGAATTGCAAGGATGCTAAAGTGGGAAAAGCACATCTACTATGTCACCACTTAACAACAAAAAGAAAAATAGAAGTCAGTTGACTAGTGGAAATGCAGATGATAACCAAATCCATATTTACAAAGAGAAAACGAAAACATTACTGCCTTTGTGATCACAACAAAATACAGGATAAATAACAGAGCCATGTATTCATTTGGTTCTACAATTTGTTGCTATAAAACACAAGCTGTTAGCAACATTGACTATTCATTTGTCCATATTTTTTCCACAAGAACTATTTTTTGGTCCAGAAGTCAATTTCTATTTGATTGCATTTGTTGATCTATTGGGTTTCCTTGACTGATTTCTCACAAATATGAAACAATTGCACATTTGAAAAAGTCCTGTAGCTTTAAATAAATATGTGTGGTTTTACCAATGAAACAGTCACACAAGCCCTCTGAGGGTTGTCAAATCTTCTTTATGCAGTGCAAAGGGAGACAACACATTTATCCCTTCCTTATGTTATTTACACTTACCAAACCGCAATTATTATTTGTTTTTTTAAGCACAAAATCATGGAAAAATAGTTCCAACTCATTGAGTCAGTCTGAAGAAGAATTATGGGACAAAAGAAAGAACACTGAGCTGAGCCGGACTGGATCAGATGTTCTGTCATATTTCCAATATCAGAGTGCAGAGGCGGTGATGGAGTGACTACCTTCTCTGGCTGCTTGCATGCCCTTGAAAGCCAGTGAAGCTGGAATATCACAGTTGTGGGGTGAAAGAGGATTGCCCCCAGCATGCTGCCAGCCGTGACTACCTACGTAACCAGAAGGAGCAGCACTGTACGCCATATAAGGGGACACCTGGGCTGCTGCGGGATAAGGTGTCATTGTTGGTGCAGAGACAAAGCTTCCGACAGTTGGAAGGCAGCTTGGTGCCTAGAAAACAACAAGAAGAAAAGAGATGACTATTGTTGTTTGAAAAGAAAAGAAAAATGAATGAAGCATCTAAAATGTCTTCATTAATATAGGACCGATTTCAGATACAACATTTTCAGCTCTCCAAGGTAACAGCGAAGTCAATCTGTACTTTCTTACTAGCCAATCTTGGCTCCTGGCAACTGTCTGGACAAGTCCCTGCTCTTTTCTTGGCAAGATTTCAGAAGAACTTTGCCATTGCTTCTTCCCAGGACTGAGAGGGAATGACTGGCCCAAGGTCACCCAACAAGATTCATGTCTAAAGTGGTATAACTCATACTCTTCCAATTTCTAACCCAGTGCCTTAACCACTACACCAAAGTGGCTCTCTGGGTTCATTAAGGATCCCCAAATGCAACTGGGTCAAAAATTTTATAGCAGATTTTTTTTGGGGGGGGAACCCTATTAGGAGGCAAGCTTAATAGCTTATACATGGCAGATCTTAAGGAATCTATATTATTCCTTAAAACCTCTCAAAATCACCCCAGTTCTTCAAGTTTTCAGTGGTCCAATAAGGCCATTTTGCATTTTTTTAAAAACATTTTTCTATGAGCTACGATGAGAAACCCATCAACTGCTAACCCCCTGATGTGAGAGATGTCTTCTTTTTAACCCTCTTTCACAAACTTGAAATAAATACTTTCTAATAAATTAACTTTTCATCATACATTTTTTCTTTCTTAAATTTCCTATACAATCAATGTATTACGTAGCCCTCTATCCAAGTAATTCTGGCATACCTGCATCAGAACTTCCCACGTGAATTGCAGAATGTTTCATCAAAACTAGCACAATTATTCTGGCAGCAACAGCTGGGTAATGGTGGCTATTATCCCCTTACCTTATTGTGCCAGGTTAAGACCCTTCATATGTTACAGAGCTTCTCCTTTGCCAATTCAACAGATCCTTAGTATGGGAAACTGGTTGCATTCCAGTAAACAGTAGTGGGAAAGGCCAAAGGGAAAAACTAAATAACAATGCATCTCAGATTTTAAAATGTTTCCTTTCCAGATTCTTTTAACAGGGCATACCATACTCAAAGGCATCATTAGCATTGCTTGTGAAAACAATATAGGCCTGTGCTTTCAGATTTTTCTCAAAGAATGGCCATAAAATTGCCCTCTGCCTTGCTCCTACAGAGCTCAGTTTGACAAGCCACATTTCAATTAATGGGAGCTGAGCAAGAACACTGCCGAGCTCATTTCTTTGGAATTTGAGCTGGAGAACTTTCCAATTGCTTTTCTGCCTTCAGAACTGAGCACTGCTGGAAAAAATTTCCAATAGCATGAAATTTAATCCCTACAAATATTAAGATGTATATGCTGGGGGAAAAAATATCCAGAACAAGGACATTCAGGCACACACAAGAACACCAAATTGGCATGGGGTGGGGTGGGGATTATTCTCTGCAGCATGCATTCAAGTAAGGATGCAGGCCATTTTGTAACGGTCTGAACAATGGACCTGCTTTATTTAAATTAATTGCCATTCCTTGAGAATTCTACAAAAATATACCTAAGGCCGCTTCTTACACAAAGCTGGTGGAGATTGCTAAAACTTCAGCTCACACCACTTGTTATTCTATCCAGCAAGCCTAACAAGCATCAATAATAAGCCTACACTTTTTTGAATTCTCACTTCATGGGGTTTGAATACCCATTTGAAGACCCATTCAGTCACTGAGTTGGTACCAGAACTACAGTTCTGCCTGCAGCTGCTGCCTCAAGCAGACTTTCAGTCCATGGGCTGCTCCTGAAGTTTTCTCTTAAGACAACAAAGCCTTGTTCCATTGGGCCTTTTTTTAAAAAAAGATGCCTGAATGACAGAAGTGGTTTGCTATGCAGGGTATGTGGGTGCTTTTTTAAAACTTACATGCACTTTGCTCCATCTAAATAATACTAAATCCCTCTATAATCACAGGGGCTGACATCTTGTGCCTCAGGCAAAGCAGAAAATGTTGCCCCCTCCCACCTCATTCAAAATGCAAAAGCAACTGTTTGTATCTTACTTCAGCTCTTGAATGGGAGAACACACACACACACACACACACACACACACACAAATTCAGAGCTGGAGGGTAGATCATAGGCAGAGAAGGAACAGCCACCTGAGACAGTTGGGCCATTCTGCCAGACAGGAGGGCTGGATCTGGCAGTCACAACTGTGTTCCACTTTGGACATATTTTATGGACATCCCCCTCACAAGCATGACCTCTAAAATGTTGCTAGTGCAAGGTATAAACTGGGAGAGACCAATGATAAAAATGATCTACACACTGGCTTACATAGGGTATTAGAACCCAACATTTCATTCAAATGACACTTTGGAGAATAGGCAAGTGCCCCAGACATTTACATATTCATTTAAAGCAGATGCCATTTGATTCAATGGGACTCACTCCCAAATAAACCCACTTCCATTAGAACAAAATCACTAGTCAGGGAAACATGAGCTATGCTTATAATTTGGGCTACATGGCTTAATAGAGGAGTTGAATCCCATTTGTTAATGTGACAGTTTATACAAGAAGTACATTCACTTGCGAATGAAGTGAAGGGGATTAAATTCCAGAACCCTACATATATTGGGCCAATAATTCATCTAGAGAATTTCAGTTGAAGGAAATGAATACCAAAATTCAGAATCAGGAGTTGAGAGAACCCTGTGGTGTTTATGAGTTTTGAAGGTACTTAGAAGTCTTTTCTTAAGTGCTGGGCTTTCAGAAACATTTTTTTTAAGTTCTGTAAATATTCTACCATAATTGAAGCCATTGTTTATAAAAGGAAACTGAAGTATTGAAGATCTGTTAGTAGATGAATGGAATCTATAGTCCCTTTTTGCCCAATATCTAAGAAGCAAAATCCACAGGGGAGACATATTGAATTGTTTCAGCTGCTCAGAATTAATGCTTTGTAGCAGTCCAAAGAAAGTGGAAATTCAGAGGAGAGAACAGTCTTCTCCTTTTTCATGGTTTATCTGTTTAGCAAAATGCATTTTTACAATTTTGTTGTAGCTGACTCAACAGTTACAGTGCAAAGAGCTGTCCGTGGGAGTTACCCCTCAATTATGCCAATTTAATCAAAGTAGAGAGTGGGCTCAAACCTGTAAACAGAATTAACATGAGTTAGGATCCCCACCCATGCACATAAGCATTGTGTTAGAGAAACTGAAGCAACATCCATGTTTCTGCTGAAAACTGGGAATGGCAGCCTTTCTGGCCATAGATTTAATGTATACATTTACATGTGGGAGCCAAGTAGTTCAGCAGCCAATCACAGAATGCATTCATATGACTAATGTCATTGTGAATGCAGCAGGTATATCTGTTTCACAATTCTTACCAAAAGGGACTTACAGCATAAAATACCACGTGAAACAACCAAGTGAGAAAAGATGGCAGGAAGAAGCAACAAAAAAATACATTCCCAAAAATGTGAGCTGTGCAGAGAGCCTTAAAGAATTAAATCAGACAGTTGCACAGAGGTTATCTAAGACAGTCCTCTTCTAGACATAAGAGTTGGAGGAAGTCCTAGCATCAGAACTTGCTATGCTAGCCAAAAGTTAGGGCCTTCCCGTTCCCTTGGGGTTATTATCAAGAATTATCCACATCTGATTGACCACTGCCACTCTTTCCTGCCCAGTCTTCAGATGTACTTAGGCAGAACATCTGGATGAAAGCAGTGGATTAAATCTATTTTTAAAGCAGCCACCATTTTACATTTTCTACAGTTGGATATCTGGTGTTAGGTATTACATTTTCAGAAATCTAAGATGACCACACAGTGATGTTTAGTATTCAATATAGAATAGAATGGAATGGAATGGAATGGAATGGAATGGAATGGAATAGAATAGAATAGAATAGAATAGAATAGAATAGAATA